CCACATCACCAATAAGAATATAAATCTATTCACCAGTGTTTTGTCGGTTGGACATGAAATCTCTCTTGACTCCCGTGATCGTTGTTTCATAGCGATCTCATTTCATCGACAGAAGGCTGCCGGTGGATATCTTGGGCACCAAAGAAATTTCTTATTATGCGGCTAGGTTTTTCATATATCATCAGTTCTCTGTCGCATCTTTCTTCTTGACAGGTTTTTCGGTTGGAAATGTTGAATCTTTTTCCTCAACTTTGTGATTCTGCCGACTAAGGAACGCCAAGCTGAAGAAAACAGTCTGACAGTGGTCAGGTACAACTCCAAAATTTGATGGCATGAGTAATTGCTGGTACGTAACTCCTCCTCCCCTCCCCGTGACTGAGGCTTTTAAAAATCATTACTGGTCACACCTATAATACTTAGAATGATCGCAATATGGTACCAATCAGGAAACACACCATTCCGCGTTCTGACACAGCGCATATCCTAAACCATACTACGCTTGCTGTAGACAAAGATGATACTGTCAATGAACTCACCTTGAGCTATGAGTGGCAAATGATTCACGTATTCCGATGTGAGGTCAATGCACGATGACGGTCTTCGTTGATGATTGAGAAGACTATTGGATTCACGTAGAAGACGGTGCATCATGGGAAAGTCACGGAGTCGTTCAGTGCTCAACCCTTCCTGAATCACTACCCTTACGGTAAATCCGTAGCAGTATATGAATATAAGCTAAGCGACTTTAAAACTTTGGATAAGATTTGTTTTCAAAACGTTTTCTGTCATACAACTGGGTTTACTGCTGATTTGTGTTGCCCAAATCATACCCATTGACACGTGATTGCTGGCGGCACCATTAGATAGAAAACTGGCTGTGAGAAAGGCAAAGCGAGGGAGTAAGGACGAATTTCAGCGGGTGAGTCCCGGAAAGGGTGATCGCGGTTCGACCTGGTCTGGGATCCAAGCTTTGCAAACATCTTAGCCTCATAGTAGTTGTAATTCACATCATATCCTGTCGTAAAAAAATAATAATAGACAGTAGATAAAAAGTTAAACACTTTCTGTCAAGTAAACTAGAAAGGGAATACATGTGGGATCTTGGTAATTGGAAGTACTTCGTGAGAAACAGATAAGAAGAATGCTATAAAAGAATCCACATGTCAGTTAATAGACACTAATGCAATGCTTACTAAGGAAAAAGAATAACTACACAATCGATGAAATTCAACCCAAACTCTACCTCATCAATGAAGTAGTCATGGGTGGCGAACTGAGTGGCCGAAGCAGGAGGGAACGCCGGCTGACCACCGGCTGCTTCTGCGGCCAACGGCCCTGCAGCGATTGATTGGACCATACTAGGCTAAATGAGAGCATTTGGAACAACACAGTCATGCATTTTGACACGACGACATAATTCTGTCCATAAGACAAGCCCACCTGGAGATGTAGATGCCGACCTAATTGGCAGCTACCGCTTCTCTGAATATCGAGCGCCCTCTCGTATGGTGGTGGCTCTCGAGTTTTTCCTCGGCCAAAAGCAAGGGAAAAATTCGACAGGACGGAGGCACAAGGGACGTTCATGTCATCGTGCGTACCCTAAACATCATGAAAATTAGAATTAACATCGTCGTGATCCCATTTCCTTTGCTTGCTTAACGAAAAAAAGAAAACAGACTCTTCTCCCTTTTTATGAATAAGTTATGAAACCCAATTTCCACTTTAGTTAAGGTATCAGTCTTTGCATAATTGATTTGAATCACTTACTAAACTCCGAAAAACAAAAGTTTAAAGTAAAATGGCAAATCAAATACTTTCTTATAGATTCGGTGCAGCAAGGAAACATCACTAGTGTCGGAATTCTGCACTTGTCCAAACAAGAAAATAAGCATTCACTCTAAATTTTCAAAGAATAACAGTACAGATTGACAGGAAAGAAAACTTACGCTTCTGTGGTATCCATTGATGACATGGTAATGAGCTGGCATCGAATGAACCCTGTTAATTACGCCATTAGCGGATTTCTTCATGAAAAGTCGGCCGCCGTTTGCTGTTACTTGAGAGTCAAGCAGAGCCACAGCGACGGAAGGATGACCCCAAAGCTGGAAAACGGTCAATGGCAAGCAGAGTTGCTGTAATGGTCTTTAGTAAAACGGGACCATTTTATATGAATAGAACTTATGGAGGACCATAATATCCTGTTCATTAATTCAGATTAACTCAGCTTCTGTACTTAGGTAAAAAAAGAGGTCCCAATACATTCCAGTTCGATTTGCTGATAAAACCAGATTTAGTTATTTAGATGATCAAAATACATCAAGATCGAGCCGTTCGAACGTTTGCTATATCTATGAAATATATCTAGTGATTAATGTATGATTTTCATATCATTATCATTTCTTTTATTCGAAGGGAGTTAGGAAACCCGTTTCAGATACCAATATGTTAAAGTGTTCTCAGAAAACAAGAAAAGTGACCAACATCTGAGTCGATCTTCGGTTCGCTTCTAGCTTGACCTGAAGCGCTTAGCCTCTGTGTTCGGCTGTCAGGCGCACACCTTCTCAACGCCGGTGCCACAACCACAGTTCTGAAATCCCTAATACCTCTATTGGTAAGCAGTGCGAAATTGCAATGACCGGCACTGAGAGTACTAGTCCCTGCTGCTAAAATCTATGAGGTACTTCGGCAGTGGACTATTATCGCTGCATGATTAACGGTGTTTTAATTAAAAAACGAAAATATGCACAGATGAGTTCCACCCCACCACGAAAGGAAAATTGTATAAATTATAGAATGACCAGTATGAAATAGCAGACTGTAAAATGGTTACTCCATCATTTTCACCTTTGAAATACCTTTTTAAAAATGGATGTTCTATGTAGCTACCTACAAAGCTTTGCGATTAAGCCTTTCTTCCTAAATGTTCTTACTCTAAAATATATTTTTACCAACTTCAGCAAGTGCATCGTTATCGAGTTTTCCTTAAGGCCAGCATTAATCTCACAGATTTTCACACGAAAAGAGAATACGAGGATTTAGACATAAAGCGTTCGGTGTTGACCATTCCCTGAGAGAAGTTTCAATCATCGGACTTTACTGGACATCATAGATGTGACAAAACGCATTTATGGCCTGTATACAATGACTTAAGATAGCCTGAGGATTTACTGAGTCGGCGTTCTTATCCTGCCAGATAAGGCTGGTATACAACCGACCGTGGAAGAATGGAAGGCGGGTTTCTCCGAAGACCGCCACGACACCAACAAAACCATGTGTGTACTGTGTGGCACTTCTAACCAAACCCTATACTGAGATGAGAAATGGCGAGTAAAATATGATAATGTAGCTTTGGGGGAGCTTCGTCAAAGTACGACTCACCGGCGCTTTGTTCGACAATTTTCAGCATATATCAGGAATTGCAAATCTCGTTTGTAAAGCTAAAGGCTCAACATTAATGTTAATGCCCAGAAGTTGACTGTACTGGTTGAAGGTGCACTAACTTACACAAACTAAATAGTTGATAAACCTTGCTTGATTGCAACATAAGGAAATAACTTTTGGACCAAACAATCATTCCTGATGAAAAATAGATGATTTTAGAAACTCCAAGATACTCGACCCATGAGCACTCTAAGAAGGACCTCATCGCAGCTTTCCACTGCTTGATCTGTGTTCTTCCTGTGTTTTGCGCCACGAAGTGAGTTAAACTGTGTAAGCAGAAGGCTACATAGAAGAAATCAAAGCGATACGGCGGAAGTCGAAATGGTGGGTAAAAAAGGCAGTCACTGGCCAACGGAAAAGGGAGGTTTTGATGAATCGCTACGTGGGTTTCCAAGCATCACCACATATCAACCAATCTTCGGAGATCTGTGAAACTTCTTTCGACAGGAAACATTCACCATTCGAGAAATGGTCAAAGATGGATTCGGCGATTTTGTTGGATTCAGAGATCTAAACTTTTAATTAGGTAAAATGTCTAAGTTGGTATCAAATTAGCAACATTGTATTGATTCTATTGGCTCCTACTTTTATTGATAAAAGTGAGTTCGAGAAAAAATAGCGGCATTTTAGACTTTCAATTCAATACTTCAATATCATATGAACCAAAACTATGGATCTAACGATATATTGACAGATTATCTTCAGCGATTTTTTAAACCACGCTTTATACCTCAGCATAGATAATTATCTATTCTAGAAGTATTTATTGAAAAGCAAGATATACCAACTCGTCTTTATCGGCTCGTTCATTGACATATTCCGGAGGAGGTTTAATGCCGGCAGGACGAAGATCGTGGAGAGAGACAGATGACTGCTGCGGTAAGGAAGAACGAAGTGTCGAGTCGACATCCTCAGATCGAGCACATCCCTAAACAAACATTTCAGCATTCCTAAATGGAATACCCTAGTAATATCGGAAAAATTTTCATGTACCTATTTGTGCCGAGGAAAACTCACCATCCACAAAATTCTATCGTTACTTGAACCTTGTTTCAAACCCTAAGGTGTCGTTAATTAGTTGCCTTATTCCGGGCTTTCATTCAAATATTAAATCCCAAGGAAACAGAATATTTGCAAAAATGAGTGAAGACCATGGAAGAGAACGCTACCGTACCTGTTCGTGATGGTAACTGTGCACCATACTCTCCGGTAGCACTTCGGTAGAGTGCCGCATAGAATCGCTACGAGACCCCACAGAAGACGCATACTGTAGATCGCCCTGGAATAACAGTGTTTTTCTCAGGTAAGTTCCTAAATTATACAATTGTTAAGTTATGAATCCTAAAGAAAACACTTCCAATTACTCGAAGGAAAGTATTTGTTAGTGACAACAGAAAGATCTCGCATCCCATCTAAGTTCTTCACGATTGGTGCGAAATTTGAGGAAAAACGAAGAACGTGTAAGTCATTAAGCAAGTCATTAAGAATCACGTCTAAAGATCGGCAGACAGCGTCAATTTCAGTCTGTCTCTCATAATTCTTAAGCAAAGAGTAATTCATCAGGACCTGATAATTCTTACCTTATAAGGCACTCCATAGGCTTCGAGGATGAAGAGATCCGAAGCGTTGATGCCTGGCTTGAGATTGAAATTTACGTCAACCGGTGCACCGCGCGTACATGTCTCTATAGTCTGAGATGCCGAATCCACACTTGCCGGTCGCCTTAAGGAAAGCCACAGCTTCATTGCAAAAGGAGACAGCTCTTTCCATTCTAATGGAAACCTCCAAAACATCAAAAAAACCAGTGTTTCATATCTCTCATAAGAACAGCGAATATCATGCCTTCCATGTTATGTCTTACTATTTCTGTTATGTAGATCTCGTTTTAGGTTCGTTTCCAACATGATTGGCTACGCTACTAGTTTATCGATGAAGTACTACTGAAGGTGCAAGACATTCTTAAATTTGTAAGTCACTAATCGCGCCTGTAAACGCATTCTTCGCGCTGTTGACTATGAACAGATGTCAAGAAAACCGTTGAAAATTACATATTCGTTAAGTCGACGACAGGATGAATGATGAAGTCGTGAACTTCCCCAACATCGGATTCCGCTGACGGCAACTTCCGTTCAGTTTGCTCACTGGCATCACTTGTCTTACTCGATTGACTGGCAGCACGTTCTTGCCTGATGTCTGTAACAAGTAACATGTTCAATGAGTGACGCAACAGTGGAAATTGTGTGATTTAGGGAAATTGGAATAAAATACCGTATAAAGCCTCTTATTATTGCAAAGACTAGTTGGATTTTTGGACTAAAAAGTTGAGTTTCAGTTTTAACTGGGAAAGTGAGAGTCTATAGGCTCCCTTTAAGTTGTTACCATAAATATACTCTCCCAACTCTTCTCTTACACTCAACTCTTCCTGCTACCGAAAAATTACCGTCTTTTGTCTAAAAACAAAAAAGTCCACAGCGATGTGAAATTAGGCCTTTCATACGATCGTACACAAAATTAGGCGTCAACAGCAATGGATTAAATAGAGTTACAAATGAAAATGAATAGAAAACCCATAGTCCTGTAAAAGTTTTCCATTAATCAACATACGTTCAAGCTCCATTTTCTCAATCTTGAGGTCAAGATTTGAGTCGAGTTTAATACGAACTCGTTGTTTCGAGGACACCGAACCATGGGCTCGATCACCAGAAGTGCTCAGCGAGTCGTGCAGCAGCGAGTCACAGTCTACAATAGTTTAGATCAGCACAGTCCTGATGATCAGCAAAGGTCGGAACGCTGAATACATTGATGCCGAAAATCCCATGTGAAAAGATTAGACAACTCACAAGTGGATCGCGGCTAAGTGGAAAACTTTTCTCTTTGCTACCTTTATAACGAGCAGATTTCATAAACGCTACTAAAAGTAAGCAGCGAACTAGATGAGTAAAAACACTGACAATTCCACAAACTCATGAACGATATGTAAAGCACGCATCAGCTTCAAGCTAATGATAACATACTGTCGAGAAGAAACGCTTGTACTTAATCTTACACTCTAGCAAGAGTATGAGAGTACGTCTAGTTCGAGAGTCGTAATACAACAATATTATAAGCTTTCTAAGAATTCACAGCACGACACAAGTTCACTTATTGGAGCACTCCGTTACGATGCGTGGCTAGGTGATAAGCATCTGGTGATTTTCAATTGCACGGTGTACAAAAAGAACTGCAGTTTTTGTTGTGTAAAATACTGTTTCTTAGTACGTGGATGTGACTCTGCTCAACTACGTTCACATCAAAGCTGCAAAGATCCAGATATAATTCCTTTAGGTGCTTGTAAAAATGTTAGGGTAATAACAGCCGTGTACTGTGCTGTAGAAGTGTAACACATGAAGGACATAAACCGTCAAACCCGCCAATTTCTTTTTTCTTGCCATCATATTCTTTTATATAAATATGAATCGATTCCAAACACAAAGAAAAAAAACCTTGGCATAATTCTCTTCGCCATAATCGTCGTAAGTGCATACTGTTTGAATTTTCGTGGTTTAAAAGCTACTTATCATATTTCCTGCGCTTCGCTTGACAAAATCTGATAAAAAAAGTCTGGACTTAACAGTATTCACCCCTGTCGTGGTCGGCGTTGGCGGTTGATGTTGCGTTAGAGGACGTAGAGACCCTGTCCACGCTCTTCTCATGGAACAACTGCGGCAGCGGCGCCACCTTACCGTTCTGGTGCGAAAGCACCAATAATGTTTGATGTACAGCACGGCACAGCTCCAGCAAATACCTCCAATTTATCTCAGTGAGTACGTTCTGCAGAGATATTTCTACGGTTTCCGAGGACAAACCTAGCTTTGTTCTCGCTTTGTGCGTATAGACACATCTTCGTGCCATCAGCACCTACAATAGTGAGCTTTTTTCGATCGAAGGACAGCCGCGTCACTCTGTTCCAAGGAAGAGCACGTAATGGTATCCGCTCGCCATCTTCACCGATGTCGCACATCTCAATGCCTCTGAAAAACTGCTCACTTACTACAAAATGCGTTGTTGAGTAGCACATACAAAGTATGTCGTGAGATGCAAATGGAACCAGGTGAGCATTTTCTCTCTGATGCAGAAAATTCATATTTTCATATACTCTTATTTACCGTTAAATGCAAACTTGTTACTGAACTACAACGCTGTCGATGTCCTTAAAGCGAGAATCCATTGGACAATCAACGATTGAGGCGATAACGAGTTTTCTAACGACTGATCAAAGCACTCGAAGATTAATAAGATAGAGATCTAGCTGGGGTTAATCTCATATCATTGCTCTGGTAGTACATTACTCGTAAGAGCAACCTCCTGATAAGCAATAAAGGACAAAGACTGCCTGTGTCTGAACGGATTCGTACCTCTACCCTGAACACAAGGAATGATATTACTCCCACTTAGCGAAACATCAACCAAATGGAAACTGATTTTAAGCAACATACACGACTCGTCAACGTCTAATAAGTTTTAGGCATGAATGGACCGAAAGCTTGAAAAAATTAGTTTGGAATTGATCAAATTTCAAAGTGCGGACAAGGCAGCTAAAGGTCCTTAATTAAAATAACGATACTACTATGGACAAACTTAGCGTTGATGCCAAGAACAGCATTGTCGACCGTATCCATCTTGTGTCGCCTTAGGCCGTACAGATGACAGTTTAGCGCGAACGGGGATCTGAAACCTAATCTGCTCATTTGGCGATCAGGATAAAAAATAAATCATGCCAGAGGTAACAACTGTCACCGGCTGGCTTCAAATGCGAATTTCATCATCGCATCCTTTCGGCTCATCTCTTTCAAATCTTCTGTCGCTGCCGGCATGTACTTGCGGACGTATTCCAAGCCGCGGACGTCAATGACCCATATCGGAAAGTATTGCTCGGCCCGAAAGTATCTGAATTCACAGGTGTGACCAAACATCGGAAACCTAGCCAGAAACATTGGAATTTTGTACTAATGAAAGCAATGGAATACGATACGACATATTGAGCCCAAATGTAAAAGAGGAAGCAGAAAAGCTTTCAGAAAAAGGGATTAAGATCCAATAAGAATAGTTTGCGGTTAATAAAAACTTTAAAGTTTCAAATGTAACTTTCACATAGTTTCAGTTTTGGAAGAGTGTAAGATAACACTTCATGTCACAACAACATATAATGTACGCTTTTTTTCACTCACACTCCTTATAAATCCTCAGTTTCAAGCTCTACCCATTTACACGAGCTCGTTGTTCCCACCGAAAATATGGACAACCTTACCCGCCAGGGTTGTCACCCTTGTCCACTTTGAGTGCAAGTGCAGCCATTTCCCAGCATCGTTCTTCTGACACACTGTGACGACTGGCCCATTGGTCGAAAAAGTTGTCTTTCAATTGTAGATAGTAGTGCTCCAACGCTTTCGGACAGCTGAATAATCTAGTTCTAACCTAGCGTTTAATTTGGTTCCATAGCGAAATATATTTATCTTTAATATTGCATAAGCTCTTTGGATTCCAATGTTTTCTTTTCAACAAGCTTTTGTTTTTTTCTCATTTTTCATATTTTTTCCAGGCTTACTGCTTACCGACTGAAAAATATCATAGCTGGATTTCAAATGGATAGGTAAAAAAGGATTCCACTCTTCACAAATATTTGATGGAATGTTCCAAGTATGAGGTTGGCTCTATCTGTTGCTCCTAGAATAGCCACGGGGGAAAAAAGAAGTTGTGTAGATGGAAAGAGCACTTACGTCAACAACCGCACTTGGTCTATGTAGACGCGAACTCGGAAGTACAGCACAAGCAGAGGACGGTTCTCCGTGGTTCGATTATGCTGCAATCTTGTTCTTACTAAAGTGCTTCAATCAAAAGTAAACGACTACTCACCAATTTTCATACTTTTCGTAACACCCAGCTAATAACAAATCAGTGTGATCCGCAAGATCATTCGTCCGTTTTAATGCTACTTATCAACAACACCTAATTAGGCAGGTCTACAGGCCTACAAAGCAGTGAAGCATGTCATATAGTCCACAACACACGACATCGCGAAATTTTCACTGATTGCCGGCCGCATAGGACGAAACCAAGCTCCTCATGCGCTGCGCACTGCATTGGAATCAATGCACAACGTGCCTTATGCCTCCACTCCCCCCCCCCCCCCCAAAAAAAAAAAAAAAAAAAAAAAAANCCCCCCCCCCCCCCCCCCCCCCAAAAAAAAAAAGAAAGAAAGAAAGGACATTGAATCGTTTTCTCTTATGAAGAAGTAAGTCATATGAAGCACCTTTAACAAGAGTCACACGCAAAATTTACTTAATTCAAACTATGATTAACCAGTGTTGTATGTCCCGTTTTGTTCCCCACACTATTCGACTACTCCTCCAGCAACGACACAACTCCTGATTCAGAGTACTTTTGCAACTTCTATGAATGCAAGTGACCCAAACGATCTCATCACTTTCCCTGGGAATTGCAGCCCATATCGTTATGGAAAAAGACAAGCAGATCGCCACTATAAAGTTAATTAAACAGTGTATGGGTCCAAACATCCTAGCCAATCTCTAGAAGTTTTCCCAAGTAGTCAAAAGTACGGTTAGCATAGTACTGCTGCGAAGAAAGCTAACAGTTCTCCTGTTTACCAATTCTGATTGTTCCTGGTTTACTGCTCACTTCAACTAAATTTGTTCTTAAGAGTATTTATCCGACATTACAGCTCCGTTTTCCGGCAACATCTTGTAATATATCCCCAACAGTCGCACAAGATTCGCACCATCATTTTGTTTAAAAGCTTCATAATAGCCTAGATGACGATTTCATTCGCTCAAAATAGACCGATTTTATAACGAAGAAAACAGCAATCAGAAATTCGGTCGATCACTGTCTACCAGATTGTCTCATTCCGCTGAAAACGGTTGCTTGGTCTCATCAAAAATTCTGACATCGCTCTCATTTAATCAACAGAAGGATTTCTTCACTCTCTTTCACGGATAACCGCCAAAAATGCGCTGCAGCGCCAAGATAAGAAAAAAATTCTTTCACGACAACGTTGCAGCCATTCACGACACGTGGAGTCATAAATTGTGTTCTCTTCGTAGAGAGCGCGCTTATTTCTCCTCTCGAGAATTTCCGCTCTAAACAGCATAACAACTCCAGAAAGAAACTCTAGAATGCTCCTTATTTTCTTACATCTTGAAAAGTTCGTAGGATGCATAAAATATGACTAATAACACGGTCTTCTCATCTAATGCCTAAAGTTGACAGCGGATCAAATTTACGAGCTGAAGCCACCCTGCACTAAATGTGAGACGAACTTTTGCCCCAATCCAGTAGTAGTGGAGTGCTCCAGAAATTTTAATAGAAAACTTAAACTGAGGCCTTAAGCTTAAATTTTAATTAAAAATTCGTCCACAATGCCGTTTCACTTAACCAATGTACGACCAAAGATGGTAAACATTACCAAATTCGCTGTACTCTCATGCACAAAGAAATCGACTAAGCAATCCATGAGATTTACGACATAACTAAAATGATTCTTAGGTCACGAAAAGAAAATGAAAATCACGGACCAAGAAGAAGAAAAATCCCCTACGACACCTGAAAATAAATAACCACCACAAATATTCCTGGCATAACTGCTTGCGCGTGACAGCTCTAGGCAAGCACTCGCTCGTTGAACTTTGTTAACGGCACGAAGATAAATCACTGAGTAAAATTTTAACGACACCGAAATAAACTAGTAGAAACTGAAATGTGTTTTGGCTCTGGAAAAACCGAAACATAGTCAAAACCAGCAAGATTCTTAGTCTGTATTCGTTCCCACATTGAATGAAATCCTAATGGTAAAAAAATATTACTATTATTACTACTATCACTACAACTACAATCATCAGTACTGCTATTTCTTCATTCTACTACCATTCTTCCCAACGGTTTATAGCCTCATCGTAGCTCGGAGGTGTTCTTGGGCATCGGACTGCGATGTACAGCGGTGGATTCATCTCCCAGAAGGACCTCCTAAGCTGAGAAGGAGTCCAGCGTTTCCATCAGGAAGCGAAACTAAGAGTAAACCAATACCAGGATCCAACACCGTCCTGGTACCAAACTAGTCTCATGGTGGCAAATGTTCCTCTGATCTACAAGCGCAGCGATTGTCCGTGGTGATGACGATCTGGGACAAACCTTTGCTAGGCTGATCTCGGGACTCAAGGGAACCACAATGGCCAGACCAGAAAACTCAGAAAAAACGCAAAATATGCTCATGAAGACAGACCATCGAAGTATTATTATTACTACTATTACTACAGAGTTTTATGACCATCGCAATAACAAATACAATAACAACGGCAATCATAATAGCGGTGCAATAACGAACAATAGCTACTTTATAATTGATTGTCCTGTCCTCGTTGGCTGTGCTAGCTCCTGCATAATCTCCATTTTTCGGAGATTTGTTGGTTAAGCCATTGTGGTTCGCTGGAATCCCGAGGTCAGCGTGGCCAAAGTCTGCCCCAGGTCTTCACCACCACAGGCAGTCTCAGCCCTTGTGGATCAGAGCGAAATTTGCCATTATGCGACTTTGATACCAGGACGGTGATGGATCCTGGTATTGGTTTACTCTTAGCAAGGCTTCCTGATGGAAACGCCAGACTCATTCTCAGCTTGGTAGACTCTGCCAGGGGGATGAAACCCCTCGCTGTATATCGCAGCTCCACACCCAGGAACACCTCCCAGCCATGATGAGGCCATAAACCTTTGGGAGAGAATCATAGTAAATGATAAATAATTCACTGCTTTCTTGATGAGCGAAGATTACGTTGCCATTACCACCATTTTTATTTCATAAAACCTGTCGTTCACATGTACTGTGTGGATCGCAGCACTTATCACATTCGATTCGTTCCCACGTATCAATCATTCACGAAGGTCTTCCAACTTCTACGTGTGGCTTCGACCGCTGCTTGACGATTTTCATTTCATCATGTCGCTGATAGCTGGTCCAATCCTTGTGGCTCTGAGATAGCCGAACTAGACTACTCCCAATTGGATTGCGGACAGTGATTTTTCCCCGGACATGCCTGGTAGCAATTTCCTGACCCTGGAACGATGAGAGGCTTCGTGAGCCTGGAGTGGGATGGAATGAGCAACGTGCCAGTGACTACCGGGATCACTATCACTTTGCTACTCACTCCTTCGATGTTATTATAGCATTTAATAGTAAATAATAGTAATACAGCAACAACAACAATGAAAAGAGCGAATGATGAAGACGATATTATTGTTCATGTAACTAATCAATCTAATGAATGAGGATGTGACTAGTATATTTCTAGATACTTCGGAGTAGATAATATAATTTTCGAGCAGAAACTTAACATATAACGTCCAAGTGGCCAAGATTATTTGGAGACTTATAGGAACTAAACTTATAGGATAACGGAACGACGAGTTCATAAAAACTAAAAGGATACGTCAAGATTGCTTGCGTTATGAATATGAGCTGATACCCATGAACGAAATACTAGCGGATTTGTATGGTCAGCGTATGCCAATTTTTCACAGTCATGCACATCACTAACCCCCGTTTCTCAGCAACAACTGTTTTGACCTTAAGAGAGACGGCGAAACGGACGGCCGCACTACCAGATTTAGATAGGCATCTGTGAGAAAGACGACGCAAAACGGAATGGAATGCGAAGAAACGGGCGTGATCTATGCAACGATAACAGGAAGTGCCGCCGCGACGACGGAAGGCGGACGGAGGTCGGACGGAGCGCGTGAGCGGAGGCCGACGACTCCGCAGAATCCACTACAACACCTGCGATGGGGGAGGACCTTGCTGCCGTACTCGACGAATCGTTGACACCACCGGCAGCGACATACCACCACAAGAAGGAAGGAAAGAAGTGGTCCAAAATGAAGAATGAGGCAGAACACTTCTTACAAATTACGTGCCTTTTGGTAACTACATTCATTAGCTCGCCCCATATACAATATACCACTTTTTGAATTGAACTACCGTACACTGCACCTTAATATACTCACAGACTGTGAATTAACTTGGGATAAATTCTGAACAAGGGCGCACAAATATGATATAGTTCTAGAATCGTGTTGAACTTCAAACACACGAAACAATATTGAGGAAAGAAACAGTCGGATGTACCAAATCCAAATGAAGCTCCCGATGCTACCCAAAAAATCTATCCTTTCTATGCAACCTCAAAAACGAAAGAAGGCGTACCCATTGTGAAAATCGAGGCTGCTTCGGCGCGTACTTGACGATTTTCTGGGCAGGGTCGAGGAAGAAGTACTCGTGTCGTGGTTGATCTCCTCCTAGAGGCAGAAAATACTTGTTAAACATCTCCAAGAGCTCCAGAATGTTTCATAAAACTTGAGATTACCGTCAATTTTATTATCTTGCAGTTAAGATCTAGTAAACTGAAACAAAACGAGAACTCAAAAATTTTAGTATCACTGTTGTACCAAAAAGCAATCACCTTTTAAAATGAGTGGTGGAAAAGAAACTAGATTCTGAACGGGTTTTAAATTGTTGAGCTAATAGCTTAGCTTAAATTCTGAACAATATACAAACCTATTCCTTCCGTAGGCTGACGTACGGCAAGTCCAAACAACTTGTCTTCAGCGATTTCTAGAATTTCTCCGCACTTCCACAGCACATCGTGTACCTTCGTCTTTTGCTGAATCGAAAACCATTGACACTTTGAATTCCCCGAATCGATGAGAAAAATAAAAGAGAATAAAAGTAAACAAACATTGACGACGATGACCAGATTTTCCTTAGTAAGCGTTTGAACGGTGACATACATCTGGCCTGGGCGCACACTATGAATGGATGGACTGACCACGGCTGGGCCTAGGTGGGGAAAAGGCACAACTCCAAAACGATAGTGAAAAACAGCTGCATGTTCATAAATATAGAAGGGCTATTAACCGTGAACTGGACCAACGAATAGCCGTTTGTTTCGAAAAATTGGAAAGAAAGAAGATCAGCAACAATTCCCATTGGTAACCAAGAAACAGCTCCCATGAATTATTTCTTAAGCATCTACTTACTTTTAAAATGACTTCAATGAATGGTTCACAATCAAGTCAATCAAGCCTCAAAGCTGTATTAAGAACTGATGTTCATGTTTCATTTAAATGACGAACAACTAAAAAACTCCCAGAAACTTAGTTAAATCCCTTACAAACGAGCGACTTTAATTAACTAGAGTTTATTTACCTGAGTTACTCGATGACGGTTGCTGTAAATGAAGTGGCAGACGCAACCCTACCGTTGAACGTGACCGGCTCGAACCCGGTGTCGAGCAGGACGATTCCATTACCTGTCAAATATTGGCAGTTAAAATGAAATTGTTCATCGACATCGTCTCAAGAACGAGAAAATCCATAACAATGACAATTCTATTGGATTCTAATCTCATAAGACAGAAAAAAAATGACACCACAGAATATGAAAAATTGGAAAGACTGAACTAGGAATATAGGAAGTAAAATAAGTACAAAGGTAGATAATGTAAAGTGCGAGCCAGTTCAGCTGTTCCAAAGAAAAACTCGCTGAGATAGTGGAGCACCAACACCGGAAAAATATCAAAATATCTGTCAGGAAGTTTTCACCCGACTGGTCTGGGATCAGTTCACTTCCAGCAAACCAAGTGGGAACGCTCTAGCCCGGCTATCCCAGGACTCTAGCGATAATCAACTCGACCAGCATTCAATGACATTCAGAAAGAAGGTAACCATCCCCAAGCGGAAGCCGAACTCACATGCGAAATGTTCGAGGACATTCGTCGTTGGTGGATGTGAGGAAACGACTCGAACGCAACAAGTGCTGGTATCTGCACAGATGTGAAGATGGGCTGTGTAAAATTAGAAGAAAAACAAAAATAACTAAAGTGTAAAAAAAATATGTTTTGAATAAAGAAGTAACATTCAAACGGTAAATAATATTTGACTAAATAAGTAAACAATAAGCAATATTTCACTTAAAAAAGCCTGAGTCGAAAATGAGTTTTGTAACTCCTGTAAGGGGTAGTTAATACTAGGGTAAAACAAATTCTATTTCGTCACGAATTTTTTAAAGTGTATCGTACTCAGAGGAAATACGGATTCTAAACGACTTTGGTAACTGACCGTCATTTAACCTCGGTAGAAAACAACATTCTGAATTAGCTAACCTTACACGAGGTTGACAAATAACTTTTGTTCGGCTATTTCGACGTCCTCGTCTTCATCGGAGCTGATGGTCCGAGTCGATGGATACAACTATACGGATTCTTACTTCATAATGACAACCTCTGGCATTCGTACAATCTACAGCTCACATTTTTGTTCAGTTCTTCTCTTCACTCTGCATTCCTCCGTTCAGAGAGCTCGAAGCGGTTTCCCTGATGGCGCCACTTTTTCCGAAACCCTTCCGACGGCCGTGCTTCCTTCTGTTACCACCAACAACTTGGAACGGTCATCGCTGATGCTAGCATGTTGACCCCAACCAGACCTATTTTCAGTGTCGTTATCATCATCATCTAACTCAAGAAAAAAGATCATATTGCGCGATCAACAACGGCAGCGTGTCAAAAACACTCGAATTTGCCTTTTTTTCTTAAATTCTCATTCTAGTGACCCAGATAGAGAAAGAAATTGACGCAGAATGGAAACCCAACATAAAAATATGGTGCAATATCTGTGCCTTACAATCGAATGCACATCGAAGTTTTCAGTTTAACTAGGAGCGATCTTCTCATGTTCAACTTGTCAAAGGAAAACGATATTGTAGCTCAGACAAAAAATATAACCAAGTTTGGTTTTTCTTCTTTTTCTTCATATCTCCAAATTTTAAGAAAAAGTAAATATTTCAAGGTTCCATTTTTTCCAGCATGTGTAGAGGAGTGCACTTGCGACAAGTCGCCCAAGTTTCAACGTACAGACGAAGGATCGCCGATTTAAAGATCGAAAACAAACATATCCTCCACACATTCAACGGCACACGAGCGCGGTGTTGCACAACGGACGGATGCATAAGCTGCTGGTTCAACTCTATCCCTAGCCAACCACACCTCTCATGCTTCTTTTGTCAGAAAACTGGTAACAGACTTGTCAGGAAGAAGCCCCTTCCGATGCACAACAAAGGGAGGTGGTTGCGTGTGCTGAAGAGCTGGGATCGCTTTAGCAGAGTTATTTGCAAGAAAACTGTTCAACCAGCATTTAAGGACATTAACGAAGAAACTAAAATCATGAAGTAGCACACGAAGCTGCATGAAAATCCGAACACCTTCATGAATGCCAGACAACGAACAGTAAGAAAAAAGTTCGCACGTTATGTGAAGTCGGCCCATAATAAATACTCAAAATTATATGAAAATAGAACAGAGAAAGAGGATCGAGGAGATGTAAAGATGGAAGGAATGACAGCGGTGCTAGAAATGGCGCGAACTATTTGACACTGTAATAATATTACAGCACGAACACACAAAGCGGAATAACCATCCCACTCTCTTTAACATATTTTTTTAAACGATAGGTACCCTGAATGGACAACTCAACCAGTGCAGGAGGTGAAGCAATTAGGAAACGTCATGGAAACTGTAATGGAGGATTCCCCTGAAACATAAAGATTGGAACAAGATGACACTATAGGAACAAAACTTGTAGCATACCATCGACATTCTGAACGAAGTAGTAGGCTCTGGGTGGCTGTAATATAATGGTTAGAGGTGCTCTGATACATTGATAAGTCCCTATAAGTCATTTCAAAGGCCAAGTATGCATTCATACACTTCTACAGTGAAACTGTCATAGACTGATCGACGCTGAACGCTCTACACTTCGTAACGGCCATATGCATTCGCTAGCATCCGTCAAAAACTCAAAACGCTTCGGCCAAAACGGAAAATCATTCTAAATACGGGACAATATGCATCTTTGCAAGACTTCTCAGAGTCTACTTTCTATTAAACCCTACATTCGATTATAAATGTGACCTATTCTTTTTCATCCATCGCGAGTTTATTACACAACACACGTTCATTTTCGTACAAAAACACCTTCAGCACAACAGCTGCCGACGTATCAGCAATATCACCTTCTTCAGAGCCTGGAAAGATATACTGATACGTAATTTTCAATATATACCGGTACGGTTTTCATCTCTCTGTTTGTAATAGTGAAGCGCTTCGTCTAGTGAATTACATGACTATATGTATATATATATATATGTATATATATATATATATATTCTTATAGGCGTGTGTAGCGCGGTGGACGGACGCGTCTTGCAATACACATGGGATCGATCTCCGTGCCCAAGGCTCACCAAGCCCTCCATATCTCCGATGTCGAAAAATTGGTACCAGATTTGTCTGGGAGGATAGCAGCACTGGCTCGATACATCAGTGGGCCACCGCGAATCATTGTAAAGCCCAGAACAGATGTGCATTCAATCACCTCCAACGATGCGTAATGAAGTCGAACGCATGGCGCATCCCAGACGAATTGATCAAAGCCGAAAGCTTTATCATTTTTAGCTTTGTATATTCTTACGAACTACCTTTATTAGCCGACCCGAGGTTGGTGTAGACCTTCTCATTGTTGTTGTTGTCGTTGCTCAATGGCTGATACGTTTCGGCGACTTTGCCTTCCTCACAGCAGTGCTGTTGGACCACGCGTGTGTCGTTCACAAGGGATGAGAAATAAGGAAATCTATACCAACCTCGGGGCAGCTAAATAAGGGTAGTCCATAAGAACATATATATATATATGTATAGGTATATCGATTACTATGCAGAGGTTTATAGAAAGTCAATCTTCTACATATCAATATACTCTCTCAGGCTCTGAGGAAGGCGATCCTACCGAAACGTCGGCTGCTGTTGTGTTAGTGTTTTGCACGGAATTAAAAGTGTGCTGTATAACTGACTACCTTGCGATTGCTGAAAAAGAAAACGACATAAGCATCTTTGCATTTTTACAAAGGCTTTATAGCAACTTCACGTTTGCAAATATTGATGGTTTGCGGTTGGGGTAACGACAGTCTGTGCAGAGATACGTTCGTGAGCACACCTACACTAGTGAAAGGAATGAAAATGAAGTTTCAAAGCGATAGAAGATTGTAGATGAAATATGTGATGCCTGTGACGTGAAAAAGAAATAGATTAAGGTTTTCAGGCCAAAGGAGAGGTTCATCGAATATTCGATGAAGCACTAATCCCCACAGGAAAGAAACCACATGGGAAATCGTGTATTTTGGAGACAATTACCTGTCAACTACAACCGATGACTGTCATACATGCAGAAAAGGCGTCTGTGAGGCCAAAAAAGTAAAATTGAAATGATAAGGCGAGCTTTAAGGAATATTTCTTCGAAAACAGTCCGCGATAATGTTGAGTCTAAAGAAGAATCAATAAACAATGGAATGAAAAAAGCTAGACATTAGCGTTTTTGTTTCTAAATACTCCAACTTTTTGACGCAAACGAAAACCTATCTCTCTTAAATCATTCAAATCTTCAATACATCCTGTCAAAATCTCAAGGTTGGCATAAATGCACAAACAGGTTATTCCCACAAGAATTTGCTTGGGTGTGCTGAAAAACTTCACTGAATAGAAAATTATTCAATCAATGCCGAGGTTAACAGAAAGTCAGACGTCGGAGTTACTGTAAATTTAAGAAAGTAGAAAAAATTATTCACTGAATAGAGTTAGCCCTTCCACTTGACAATCGACCGGAAAATGGATCAGAGAACAACTCCTAGTAGCGATTTCATAACCCGCCTTTAGAACCTTAAGGTGGTCGTAGATTGAGAATCAGAGAATGACCTAACAATGGAAGCAAATAACTATTAGCTAAAAAACGCCACAGAAGAAAACAACTAATCGTAGATAGAACGGGTTCAAACGGCATGTGTTCCAGCGTTTTGTCACGGAAGAAGGCAAAGAATGAGGTCGTCCGCCGAAAATTCCGACTGAATACCAAGTTTTTCTTTTGAAACAAGGGAAACGAGGTTCACAGACTCCAGAAATAAGAATTTGATTCGTTGAGTGGTCGACGTGTGAAGAAATGGAGAAAAACAAGCACGACGACTTGATCCTGTTCAGCACGAAGACACACAGTCTCACGGACCCCATAACGACATTAATTTGCACTTGCGGAAATCGAAGTTTTCCAGAAATCTTCGTACAGACGATGTTTCAAGGCTATCGTATGATATGGGATCCAAGGAAGTCTCGATGAGGGAAAAAGGTACAGATCTGTGATGATCACAAAAATTAACTGCGACCTCCAAATCTGTGCCCATAAACTTCAAGGGATTGCTTTTCAGAGCACA